AACGAGCAGTGTCGTCTCCAGCAGCAACTGCGGCGCGCGCGTTCGCGAGAGGGCGCCGCGGAACGCCGCTCGGGCGGCGGCAGCCGCGGTGGCGGCGGCCAGCGAGGGGGTAGACCGCCGCCGGGGTCATGCCGCGGTGGAGGCCGATGGGTGAGGCTAGAAGGGCAGCAGCACCACACCGGTCATGGTGGCGGTGACTGGAGCCAAGCCTCACCCCCCCCGAGACCTCTTCGTGGACGTGGGCCTGGTGGTCGTCTGGGGCGTCACCCGGGGGGTCGTGGGCCCGCGGGACGCCACAGCAGCGACGGGCGTGCCGAGAGAGAGCGGGCAGGGAGAGGCCCGGGGCACGCGCGTTCTGGCCACGGAAGAGAGCAGGCGTACGTTGTGTACTACGGCCACGATGATGGTGGCTACTACGAAGACTACGGCGACTACGACGACGGATACTACTACGACGACGGCTACCACGACGCCGGGTACGCCCACTACGCCGGCGGTGGAGACAGCTACAGCTACTCCTCAGGGTACGAAGACAGCCGTTCATCTGACGGCGGCATCCACTACGTCTACTACCCTCCCGCCGGCGAAGATTCGTCATCCGAGCAGCAACGTCAGCCCCCCCCCGCGAGCAGCAGCACACCACCGCTTCCTCCTCGTCCTCCACTCCTTCTCCTGGCGCGCCTCCATCTTCGGGCTACCTCCACCTCTGCACGGCACCATCGGTGCCCATAGGCCAGTCTCACCCTGATGAGTTTTTTCAGTAGGATAGGAATGACGATTGGAGTAGAGTCTGCTGCGTCTGCTTCGTCTTAGCTGAGTGTGAAATCTAGTGAGGGGCCGCCTGGTAGCAAGAGATGGGTAACTGACTCAGGAGCCAGTTTAATCTTAGTTTCTTTTAGGAGGATGAGAATGGTGAGAAAATGACGATGTGTGTGAAGCTCACTGACGTGTCTGTTGTAGCGAGCCTGAGTTTCAACTTGTTCTCAACGCATGCTGTTTCTCTGAAGCAACCGATCCTCTACGACGAACGTGGTGCAACCCTACAAAATGGACTGCTCTTTGCTATGACCGGCATGGCCGCTCGCCCCAGCGCTGGCCGTGTGTTCAACGTCGACTTCGCCTCCATCCCCGGCCTCGACGAGCGCGGTGACCGTCTTGGATGGAATCGGCGAGATGGGCCGCCGACGCTCTCAACCAGTCGGCGACCAAGGCCAACCCCGGGCGGCGCTCGCCGCGCGAGATGTTCACCGGCGAGCAGGGGCCTTTCCGCGTGCTGCCGTTCTTCCAGCCCGGCTTCATGCGTGAGGATCGCCGCACCAAGATCGACGACCAGGCCACCCTCTGCTACTACCTGAACGGCGGCGACAACCACCCGAGCGGCACCGTCAAGGTCCTCAAGGCGTCCACCGGCCGCGTCGTCTACACCAACAACGTGTCGTGGGTGACGTCGGCGCCAGCCGGCGAGGGGGGTTCCACTGGTATCACCGCTGCGTCGACACCCCCCCTGTTCACGCCGCCGGTCGTCTCGATCAACTTTGGCCCAGCACCAACGCCTGCGACCGCAGCACTGCCGGCGCCAGCGCCCACGCTGTCACCCGCTCCCGCTCTCGCTGCCGCTTCGCCCCCTGCCGCAACGCCGCCGCCAGCGACCACGCCGCCGCCCGCTCCAACGCCTTCACAACCGCTCTCTCCCACTTCGCCGTCATCGTCGGCAACCCCCCCTCCTGGCCAGCCGTCCTCTGCCTCTTCGCTGTCACCGTCGGCGACCCCAGATCCAGACCAACCGCCGCCGCCGCCGCCGGACCCCGCGATGCCCCCGCTTACGGCTCACGCCATGCGGCAGCTTCGCCCGGGTACAAAGGCCGAGGGTATGACAGACCCGCGGCTGCCAAGCCGTACGAGATCGGGCACAAGGCACAGCACAGGACTCATCTCGATGCTAGACAAGAATACTCTGGTGTCGATGCTGGAGGCTCGGGGCGCGGTGGACGAGGAGCGCAGGGAGCTGGGGGGGGCGGAGGCCGGAGAGCCGGGGGGAGCGGTAACCGGAGGGCAGGCGGGAGCACTCGCAGCTGTGGACCCGGGGGCTGGAGGAGCGGGCTTTCCACTCGCATTTGCCACGCTCCTCGCCAACCGGGAAGACATCGACGCCACGCTGCGAGACCAGCGCCCGCCGGAGCAACGCCCTGACCTTCCGCATTGCCAGGCCAGCGACCTTCGTGTCCCCAAAAGCTACAAAGAGGCCATGGCGTCGGAGCACCGGCACCTTTGGAGCGACTCTATGCAAAGGGAGTTTTATGGCTTGTTGGAAGCGGGGACTTTTACTCCGGCGAAGTAGCAACTAGTGGAGAACGCAATTAACGCTAAGTGGGTATTCGATTGGAAGGCAGATGAGTTTGGATGGCCCACTAAGGTTAAGTCGAGACTTGTAGCGAGAGGTGATATGCAGAGAGAGTACATTGACTTTGGAGAGTTGTACGCGCCTACCGTTTCTGTTTCGTGTGTTAGGATGTTGGCTGCTTTGGCGTGCGAGTTGAACCTCGACTTGTGTCATTTCGATATTGAGCAAGCTTTTGTGCGTTCGGAGTTGGAGGAAGACGTGTACATGCGTTTGCCGCAGGGATGTGGAGCTCTATCTGGAATGATTGTAAAACTAGGCAAGAGTCTGTATGGCTTGAGACAGGCATCTAGGCAGTGGCATGCAATGCTGAAGAGGTTTTTGGTGGCGTTAGGTTTTGAGCAGTGCATGGCCGATGCTTGCGTGTTTCGTTTGATTGAGGATGGATGTGTTGTGTTGATTTTGGTAGTACATGTACATGACATTTTTGCTGTGGGAGAGAGGGAGAGATGTGACAAGTTTGGCGCCGACCTTAACAAGTCCGTGTCAGTGAAGAACCTGGGAGAGTTGAGATGGTATTCTGGGTGCTTTTCCGAGAGGAACAAGGAGGCCGGCAGGTTGACGATTTCTCAGCAGACTTTCACGGATGAGCTATCAGCAGAATATGGAGTAGTGGGAGGTGAGAGCGTTCCGATGTCTTCGGGGGTGAAGCTTTCTGATTTTGATGCGGATGAGGTGGCGACAGACTTTCCGTTTCGTGAGCTGGTAGGATCGTTGATGTGGCTGGCGACTCAGACTAGACCAGACATTGCGAATGCAGTAAGGGCAGTAGCTAGGTATTGCGCATCTCCGAAGCTGGTACACTGGAATGCAGCGATGGATATTTTAGGCTATGCGAGGAGGACGAGTCACTTTGGTATTTCGTTTCAGAGAGGTACGGTAGAGGGATTCAGCTTGCAGGGATACGCTGATGCGGACTTTGCAAGCAAGGCAGCAGACCGTAGGTCGGTATCAGGGGGGATCGTCACGTGTGGAGGAGGCGCTGTGTCTCGGTTTTCCAGAACGCAGAAGTGTGTCACGCTTTCGACCACCGAAGCAGAGTACGTCGTCCTAGGTGACGTAGTGAAGGAGATTCTGTTTTTGAGGCAGATTTGGCGTTTCATGTTGCCGCAGGTCGGCATGCCGTGCATCCCCATCTTTGAGGACAACCAGGGGGCGATTCAACTAGCGCAGAACCTCATCTCAAACTCGAACTCGAAGCACATAGATGTAAGGCACCATTTTCTCAGGGAACTGGTAGAGAGGAAGAAAATTTCGGTCATGCACGTGCCGTCGCCGTATCAGCGTGCAGACTTTCTTACGAAGAGTTTGTCGAAGGATGCTTTCGAGTCTCACCGTGATTTTGTGATGAATTTGGCATGAACATTTTATTGTTTTTCTGATGGGTTGTGTTTTGGTCTTGTTCTGTTTCCCGTTTTGTTTCATTTCCCGCGCCAAGTACTTGTTAAGCGCGATGCAGCATTCATATTTAATTGAATTTTTTTTCTCTTATATTATTCTGGTCAAGTCTTCATGGTATATATTCTGGGAAAAACGTCTTTTGGTTGAGATATCGGGTGTTAGCGAAGTTTTCATTGAGAAACTGTTGCGAGCAGGGGGAATGTTAGATATACTCGCAGCAGTATCTGGTCGTGAGGATCTCAGGGGGACACGTGTTGGGAATTTCGTGTGTTGAAGGGTACCACAGGCGCAGTCACGGGGACCCTTTGGGCGTGGTCGGTGCGATGATGAGGAAGGCTTGCGTGCGTGCTGCGCACTTCTTCTACTTCTTCTTCCCTCTCTCTCCACCACCACCACCGTCTCTCTCCAATCAAGTTTCCTTCTCCCACTCTCTCTCCAACTCTCGCTCAACCTCTCTCTCTCGGCCTAACACAGCCGACTACCCAGTGCCCCAAAGCAACGTCCAGAACGTGCTTCCTGCACTCCGCGTAGTTTACCTTTCATATGTCTTGCGAGCAGCTGGTAGAATTGTTCGAGCCGACGAGGAGAGTGAGCCTGCCCTTAAGAACACCCCCGAGACAAGCGAGAAGCATCGCTACGCCGATGAGCTGGCCATGAAAGTGAAGCCCCCAAGGGAGTCTCTACTATCCACGTTTCTTGCGTGGTCGGCACATGGCTTCCCACGACATGAAAGGGGCTCAGTGGGCAAAGTCAAAGGGTACGTGTCGCGAGGTGATCAACTTTGTGGCGGAGCACGGTTTGTGGGCGACGACGTCGCAAATTCAGCACCGAGAAGATTTCCACGCGAGGTTCCTAGACGACAAGGACCTTCTAAGCCAGGATGCAGAGTGCGCCGCCATCCCCCTGGACGACTGTGATTTTGATCCGAGGGTCGGAGTTGGCCAGGGGGAGGGGCCTCATCTTCCCTTCATCGCTGCGACGGCCTTGACGGTAGGGCCCGACGTAGGTAGAATGGACGATTGGTCGTTGGTAAAGGGCCGGGGATCTCATACGGTGGAGGACGTCATGATAGGGCCGCAGCAGTACCGGGAGGACGGAGCACGGCGGTATAACGGGTTTTTGGCGGAATTCTACCGCAGCGTGGTTGCTGAGGCGTGGAACAACGCGGAAAGATCTGGGCCAGACACATGCATGGAGTCTGAGCCCCGCAAGGTAAGAAACCATTTTTTCCCATTCTTGTATTCCTGCGATTACGGTAAATCACGACCTAGTGTTTTGCGATTGAACGGTAATTTCCCAACGTTACATGGCGTTTTCGTCCATTCTGAGTCACGCCCCCCGTATTATTCCTCAAACGCCCAGGCCATGACGCTCGAGGGCAAGTCACCGCAGTAACTGCGATACCCGTTCATCCAGAAGGGTTCCACCAAGAGCTTCAGCGATGTGAAGGCAGCCATTCAGCGCATACTTGGTATCTGGCGTGGGGCCCCAGCCGGTAGGAGGGTGAATGATACTCGGTGGGGACGAGGAGACATACAAGCACATGTACCACGTCATGGCACAGGAGCCACGCGAGTACCGACAAGTCCGTCGCTACCCCATGTCAGTTCTCCACATCGTACCGAAAGATCGCTGTGTAATGATTTATTCTAACTTCATGTTTCACTGACACATTTCGCGCGTCGTTGGTGGTGGCTAAACAGGCCCGTGCTTCACTTCCGTTGGATGCATCCATTCATCAAATACGACGACCGGGGGGCACGAGATATCAGACGTAGGAACAGAAGCCTAACGCTGACCAGCCGGCTAGAGCGCACGCTTTCGCCCGGCCAATGATCGTATCTAGTTGCGCAGGGAGACGGACGGACGGGGGGGTCTTTTTTTTTCGGCCAGGCTGGGTGTCCGTTGTTTATTGGCATGGTAATTTGTTCTTCGGGTTTTGTCGGCAAAATCCCTGAAACCTATTGGCGTGCTGTGTGCATTCGGGCCCGTGTCGTTTGTACTGACTGTAAAAATGTAAGCAATTTGTTGTATATCCTTCAGTTCGGGCTTGATGTTGATAGGTTTGGGCAACTCTAGGGGCCCGGTCTCGCGTGCGATGTCCGTGTGTAAGCATTTCCTCGCGTCTTCGACACAACAAACGCTCAGTGCATTGACTATTCTATAACTTTGAGAAGAAATATTTCAATGTGCACATAAATATATGCCGACCGTGCCTGCATTCGACATCAGATAGCACAACGCTATTAGTGACCAAACTCACTGTTACTGTAGGTGCGGTGTTACTGTCGCTACTCCCTCCTCCTTACATTTTGTTCTTCGGGAATCAGTGTCAGAGATGTTTCGCTGTGCACTAGCAGCAGTACGATGCTGCAGATGCCAGGAGGCTGTGCAGCCTACCTCAGAGGTTCACACTCTGTGCGTCTCCAACCGCGAGAGACTTGGAATGGAAATATCAATATGCTTTTATTTGTTGCTGACGTCCGAGTCAGATTGATGTTGCTGGTACTGAAGAGGAGTGAGAGTGGTGGGCGAGCTTAGGGCTGCACCACTCTTCTCGAATACCGGACAAATAAGCCAATCACACGAAAGATCCAGAATGCTTCCAGAAGGATTTCTGGAAGNGCTGACTCCCGAGTCAGATGTTGCTGGTACTGAAGAGGAGTGAGAGGAGTGGACGAGCTTAGGGCTGCACCACTCTTCTCGAATACCGGACAAATAAGCCAATCACACGAAAGATCCAGAATGCTTCCAGAAGGATTTCTGGAAGCCCTCCTACATTCTAGAAGAGTATGAACTGCAACCTAGATCTAGAACGCTTCCAGAAGCTTACAGAAGGTTTCAGAAGTTTCCAGAAGGCTTCCAGAAGCTACACACGTTCTACGTAGATGTCCCGGTCAACCTTGACCTAGCATGCTTCCGGAATATTTCTAGAACAAGAGAATACATGCCAAGGAGAGATGGATTATTTTCTACTGCTACGCAGACTAGTTGCTGCAATCGTATTCAAAGGTCAAACCGTGTCCGACTACTGGTGGTCTGGACGCACGATTTTCCTGACACGACCCCTCGATCAAGCAACTAATTCACAATGGTCGACGGCATCACCGTATCCTTGTCTACCTCGACCCCTCCGTTGGCATTGTATCGAAAATAAATTCCTTCTGATATGGCGGGTATGGAAGGAAGCTTCACAGACCTTCGATCAACACCAGAAGTCCTTGATCTCCTTAATGATGGAGGCGAATCGGTGGTTTGGGAGGTACTTGGTCGCGATATCAGCCAACTGGTGCTNAAGAGTGAGGGCTGTCTCTTATACACATCTTAGCTCCCGGATGAAAAAGTACCTCAGGGCCACGTGCTTCGTGCGTTGAGAGTGCATGGCATTCCCGGCCACTGTCAGCGCTCCGGTGCTGTCGCTGTTGATGGGAACCGATCCGAAGGTCTTGAAGTTGAGTTCCGTCAGAAAAATTGAGATGTAGACCGCCTCTCTGGCTGAGTAGCTAAGTGCTTGAACCTCGGCTTCGACCGTGCTTTGCGCGGTTAGAATTTGAGTCTTGGCACCGTAGCTGATGAGTCCTCCAGCCAGAAAGAAGAGATATCCCGTGGTAGATCTTCCGTTGTCGGGGTTTGCTCCGAAGGATGAATCCGTAAACGCCGCTAGCCGAAACTGTCCTCTCTTGTAGACGATAGGAAGAACTGGATTACCCCGAAGGTATCGCAGAACGTGCTTGGCTGCTGTCATGTTCACCTGCGCTGGGTTGCTGCAGGCCTTGGAAAGTTGTAGGGCAGCGTAGGAGAGGTCGAATCGCGTGCACTGGGCCAGGTAGAGGATGCTTCCTGTCATCGACTGGTAGATTTTCTTGTCCGTGGGTCCTAGGATTTGGTCCTGAGGTTGATTCGTGGAGATTTCCGCTCCGTATCCAGGAGTGCTCACTGGGTTGGCCTCTTGCATTCCGAACCGCTCCAGAAGTGTGTTCACGTAGTGCTCCTGTGAAATGGCCAGGGTTCCTTGCTCGTAGTCCCGCTGCACGTCGATCCCGAGGATCCGCTTTACCTCTCCCATGTCGGTCATCTCGAATCGATCCGTGAGCTCCTTCTTCTTCTGGTCCACGAGCTGCTGGTCTCCTCCTGTGATGAGAATGTCGTCTACGTAGACCGTGAGAATCACGATGATGTTGCCGCTGGTATACACGTACACGCAGGGGTCGGATTGAGTCCTTTTCCATCCGAACACCGTGAGGGATTCGTCCAGGGTGTCGTTCCAGAGCGCAGGCTACTGCGATAGGCCGTAGAGGCTCCGTTCTAGTTTGTACACCATGGGTTCTCCCGTCGCGGAGTTCTTGGCGGATGTACCGGGGGCGGGTCTGACGTACACATCTCTGTCGCAGAGGGCGTTCAGGAAGGCACCGACAACGTCCAGTTGGTAGATGGGCCAGTTGTTGTGGCAGCCAATGGCGCACGTCATGCGAATGCTCCCGATACGGCATACTGGTGCGTAGCTGCGTCCGTAGTCCTGTCCTGGCTCTTGACGATGTCCTCCGACTACCAGGCGAGCTTTGAAGCGTCCGTCCAGCTTTTTCTTGAAGACGAATTTCGTTCCGAGGATCTTCTCTCCCTTGAGAACGCTGCTGAGGGGCACCAGGTTGTAGACGTTTTGTTTCCGCAGATTGTCCATTTCCTTGCTGCACGCTCCTTTCCATTCTTCGCGCTGGGGAGAGCTCATGGCTTCGTCGTAGGTGTTGGGGATTTTGATCGCTTGATTCGTCTCCTCCAAGATCCCGTGGTGTTCGTGAGTGGTCGTGACGTAGGCGTGAGCACGCGGCACCGTGAAGGGGTCTTCCGCAACGTGGGCGAAATCCTCAGTATCGCCAGGGCATGGGAGCTGGGCTTGATCGGCTATCTCAGCCAGCTGAGTGAAGGAAAGACCGGATGGCTCCACGCGGCCCGTTGTAGTATGGGCTCGACCGCGGTCGTTCATGGTGACTTCCAGATTGGCAGGAACCAAGTTGACGTCGATATGATCGTCGCTGGTGGGCTTCCCGCGCGTGCTGGCTCTGGTGACTTGCAGGCGCCGCATGCCGGAGGATCCAGTTGATGCAGAAGTGTCCGGTTCAGTCGGGTTCGACGATGATGGACTGGGGCTAGATGCGTGGGTCTCGGATGACGATCCAGCTGGCGTCGATGGAAGATGTGGTGATGGAGCGTCCCCGTCGCCGAGGTCTTGCCCGTTTCCATGTTCGTCCTCGTGCCCGCCCAGTTCTAGGCGAAGCTCCTCCCGAGCGAGATTGTCTTGCTGCATCTTCCGGACTTCTTGCCGAAGGAGTTCGTTCTGCGCCGTGAAGTCCAGGTCGCTCGTCGAGTGGGGGCTGTCCAGCAGGGAGGTGAAGCTCAGCACGTCGCTCTCGTACCCGTTTGCTTCAGTGGAATACTGGAAGGGCACTGAGCGGGGTGGAGATTCGATGAAAGTCACATTCCGGCTCTCGACCACGGCCCCGTTGGATGGATTCAATACCCGGTAGGTCTGGCTGTCGAGGCCGAAACCACATAGCTTGCCTTCGAAAGCTCTGTCGTCCAGCTTCTTTCGGTATCTCTCGTGGTGTACGAAGGCGCGCGCTCCAATGACCCGAAGTCCCGAGAGATCAGGTGACTTATTGTGCAACTTCGAGTATGGCGTAGCTCCTCCCAGTGCTGAGTGTGGGGACCTGTTCAACAGGTATGCTGCAGTCAGCATTAACTCCCCCCACATGGACGGCGGAAAATCTCCATCCTTCAGAAGACACCGGGTGACTCCGGCCAGGGTTTGTCCGTCCCGTTCCGATACACCAATTTGTTGAGGGGTGTTGGTGGCGGCGTATTCGAGCTTGATAGCTGAATTCTTGCAGTAGTCCCGAAATTCGGATCCGGTGTTCTCGCCTCCCTTGTCGCAGCGGATGGACTCGATCCGGTAGCCTCCTACCGCTGTGACGCACATGTTGTACGTGTGCACCGCCTCGGTCGTGTCAGAATTCTTTCGAAGCAGGTACACTTCTTTCATCTTCGTGTAGTCGTCGGTGAACTTGCACGCGTACGGGAAGGAGTCTCCTTTACAACTCGCAGGTGGATTATCAGGCCCCATATTGTCGATGACCACAAGCTGTCCAGGCCGTGATAGTTCGCGAGTCGATTGCTTCGGGTGGGACTGCTTGTGTTTCGCGATCTGGCAGACCCCGCAAGGGGAGAGACTGTCGCGATAGTCCACCCCGGTACCCGTGTCCTTCCGAAGGATGTCCAGGCTCCGAGCATTGAGATGTCCAAGCCTTCCTGTGCCAGGTGTCCGCGCTCACTAGCGTAATGCAGACGGCGTTCGCCGTGTGGGTCTGTGACTGCTTCTGGTGGGGCACGAGGGATTTCGTGCCAGATGGCTGGACGTTCTGCTCGAACGTGATGTCGAGGGTGCACATGCCTTTGTCTCGCGGATCTTGTGTGACTGGAATCACCTTGCCTTGGATAGTGAGGTGCGAAGTGCTCTCTTCGACGACGCAGCGCAATCCCTTCTTCAGGAGGGAGGTGGGCGAAAAAATGTTGCGATCAAGTCCCGGAACGATGAGTCCCTGAATCCGCACGCGCAATTGCTGTCCTCGATTGTCCTTGACGGTGCAGTATAGGATGCCCGTGGCCGTGACTTTGAGTTGGCTTTCTCCGGCCACGTCCACGATCTTTGGAGAGTTTCGCTGGGTGTAATCGTGGAGGTTTCCGTCGGGGATGAGGCGATTGTCAAACATGGTCTCCGATGCTCCCGTGTCTACCAGCAGGCCTACCCCGGTGGAGCTCGCGGCGAAGTTGCGTCCTGAGATGCGGGAACACGTGCCGAACATGAAGCCGCTGTCAAAGGCGTCCTCGTCCCGGGTGAAGTCGACAACTGCCACTTCATTGTTTGAGTCGTGCTTGTTGGACGCCGACGAGCAGTGAGTACAGTTGGAGCACGCGATGAATGCCTTACTTGAGTCCTTGGTGTCTTCCGGGAGCTTTCCTCCTTGCTGGCAGCATTCCTCGTCCGAGTGACACGTGGTGTTGTGCTTGGAGCACCACTTGGTAGCTCCGGCGGGCTTCGTTTTCTTCTTCGCCCTGTTCTTGATCTTGGGGCATTTCCTCCTGATGTGCCCCGGCTCGTAGCAGCTGTGGCAGATGATGTCAGACGCGGTCGTTGCCATGGCAAATCCTCGACCAGCTATGCGTCCCTTCCATCCCTTGCGCGATTGTTCGTCCAAGAAGATGTTGCGCATGGTGGATTGCATGTCCAGGACGTTGAAGGTTGGGTCTCTGAACACCATCAGTTTGACGTCCTTGTATTCGTCGGAGAAGCCCTGTACGCAGATGTCCTTGAAGCGGCGGTCGGAGATGGGTTCTCCGATCTTGTCCAGCTGGGCGCGAAGTAGGTGCTTCTGGTTGCAGTAGTCGGGATTTTCACCAGGGTTCATGGAGTTGTTCTCCAGCCCCTCCATCTTAGCCCTGATGACCTCGTCCGTTACCCTGTCATAGTTGTTGCAGAGCTCCTCGAAGGCAGCTTGTCCGTCGCCGCTGATGCCAGTGTCGTCTTCGTGCTTCTGTATCGACAAGGCGGCTGGAAGTTGCACTAGGAGGAAAAGAATGGCGTAGAGATCTTCGTCTGCCCTTGTGTAGGAGTCGAAGGCCGCTGTGTCTGCGGGATCTGGCTTCCTTTGTTTCTTCAGCAGTGGCAGGATGTCTTTCCTGGTCACACCACCGCGCAGAATTTCTTCATCCATGTCTTGAACTCAGCTGGGTCCTTTCCGTCGAATTTCTTGAGGCCTTTGATCACGGTTGCCAGGTTCGTAGAACTATCGCTGGCGAACGCGCTTCCACCTCCTGTGTTGCTCGTTGCAGTATCCATTGCTCGTTCCAGCTTTATTTTCTTCGTCTTGATAAAAGTACTTCCTGCTGTAGGAGTAAGTTTGCTCGTGGTACTACTGCCTGTACCCGAGACTTCCCCACCCCGTTCCTGCTACTGATATAGAGGACTCCGGTTGTGGTTTCCTTGTTTCTGATCCCGCTCCTGCTACTGATATAGAGGACTCCGGTTGTTGATCGCCTCCACTGATAATACAGTGTAGTTCCTTGTACACCCGATGCGTATGCCGCTCGAGACTCCCGCGCACGTGACCCTTGCTGCTAGTTCACCACAGAGATACCCACTACTGCCGCAGGGGTGGTAACGTGTGTATACGACGTGAACCCTCAGCAACTTGGTGTAGATGACCAAGTTTGCGCGTTTGCTTGTGTTGCCGTTGACCGATGACGGCGTCGCAATCTCCTGAAATCTCCGAAACCAGTTTCTCTTGTTGTCCACGGATGAAGGTTGATGTGCCGAGAAGAGGTTGCCTCGATCTTCCCGTTGATGTTGCAGCTCGTAGTGTGTGCGTTAGCGAGGCTCATAACCTGTCAGGGATATTTCGCTGTGCACTAGCAGCAGTACGATGCTGCAGATGCCAGGAGGCTGTGTAGCCTACCTCAGAGGTTCACACTCTGTGCGTCTCCAACCGCGAGAGACTTGGAATGGAAATATCAAGATGCTTTTATTAGTTGCTGACTCCCGAGTCAGATTGATGTTGCTGCTACTGAAGAGGAGTGAGAGTGGTGGGCGAGCTTAGGGCTGCACCACTCTTCTTCTCGAATACCGGACAAATAATAAGCCAATCACACGAAAGATCCAGAATGCTTCCAAAATGATTTCTGGAAGCCCTCCTACATTCTAGAAGAGTATCAACTGCAACCTAGATCTAGAACGCTTCCAGAAGCTTACAGAAGGTTTCAGAAGTTTCCAGAAGGCTTCCAGAAGCTACACACGTTCTACGTAGATGTCCCGGTCAACCTCGACCTAGCATGCTTCCGGACTATATATATATGTAGACTACATATATATATATTATTGCCTTCCGACAATTAATTGCAGATGTACCTCAGAAAACTTTCACTTAATGTCTCATACTCTACATGATGAATAATAAGCCAATACGAAGCACAACAACATATGTAGGACTTATTTCTACTGCTGTCACTTACATCGTAAAAATATCTCCTCTTCAATTTGAAATGAAACCAATGACAATTTATTTATTTATTTTTGCCTTCCGACAATTGCAGATGTACCTCAGAAAACTTTCACTTAATGTCTCAATGACAATCCTTATGGTATCCTACATGCGTTCGTAAGCTTGCTAAAATACTACTGCGTTGATGTCCGCTTGTAAAAGCTGAAATCCAACAAATGCTTTGATCCATGCTACATCTCCGTGTTGGAATAGCCCTTTCTTCTCCGTTCATGATAACATCTTACCCTATTCTACGCAAATCTGTCACATCTACTCTCAAACAAGACGTCAAATTTAAACGAAAACGCGTTCTACGATGCGTCTACACTCCATCCCCATGTATTGGCGTTGACTGATTTGAGGTCGATCTTGTTCGCATGTTTTCGGCGTCTTGACGCCCGCGCAATGCTAGCTTGTACCTCTGCACTCGCCGAGATATGGCCACCTGTGTAGCCACCGGAACGATCTGAAGAAGTCGTTCCTTGAAGACTCCTTTCAGAGCCATCGTTCCTCCGTCCCTTCCTCCCACGGCATGTGTCGCAAGTTCATCGATGAACTCGTAACCCTCCTCTCGAAGGCGGCCAAAGCTTTCCACGGTTAAGGTAGTAAGTTTAAAGCTGCGTTCGTCAAAGGACACGGGATATTTCTAGAACAAGAGAATACATGCCGGAGAGATGGACTCTTTTCTACTGCTACGCAGACTTGTTGCTGCAATCAATCGTATTCAAAGCTCAAACCGTGTCCGACTACTACTGGTGGTCTCGACGCACGATTTTCGTGACAATCAGGAAAGTTACGCTGCTGTGTGAGGGTCCCCGCTCAAAAGGCACAAGCGTTGTTGTTTTTTGTTTGTTTTTCTCCCATCATTGGACTCTCTCTGTCGTCTTCCCCTCTGGCCCCTATCCTCCACTTCTACTAGCTAGACGACCCAACCGGGGTCACATAGGAGGGGGGGGTTGGACTCCTTCCTGCGGTTCATGCCTGAGGTACTTTTATCGCGAGAAGGGTACAGCAATCCCTTCGCTCGCGAGTTACGAAGTCGATTATGGTTTATTTACTCACAACAAACGAGCTTTGCAGCGCGTCGCTTTCATCCTAGCCCAGGATTTATTTAGTGAGAAAAAACTCTCTGCCGCGACTCGAACCCATGACGTGGCCCTTAGCAGGCTGCGAGGCTACCCACTAGACCACCGGGAACGGTTCTGAGTGTGCGGCGCAACACCGGCACAAGAAGCAATTTCAGTTCAAACCTAGCTGACGCCATTCAAGAGTACTCCACCTATAGACTAGTGTGTATTGCAGCACAATTTAAAGTGTTGTATAACCACCATATCAGCAACTAACATTCCCAGCGCTCGGTGTTGCCGGCACCGTGGCAGGGCATAATAAGCATGACGCCTGTATGCGAATGCAAGTTTTCAACTTCATCCGTGCCTACCACTCGACTCTCTGTGAGTTGAATTCTCTTGCAATATGCTCTTTGATGCTCAGTTTGTCTTGCTTCAATTTTTCGTGGTGATTGATCTCGTGCTGGGCGCGTTCTCGTGCTTGGTTTCTGCCGCGGGTGCACAGCACGCTGGTTACGCCGCGTACAGACTAGACTATAGTCTAGACTAGTCTACGATTGGCACATTTCTTTGGGTAGAGGGCTGCGAGTTGCGCCGCCAAGTTTGAAGCCTACAACAGTGGACGGAAATTGGCGAAACTTGGTTCCTTATAGACTATAGCTGCTGTAGTCTAATAGTCTACTGCTGTGAGCCTTTAGCTTGGTTGGGGTGGATGTACGCCTGTCACGATGCTCTTCTGTGTAATTTTGTTCCTCCGCCGTTGTTGTTTTTTTCAGCCGTGCAGCACTTACCATAGGAGGGTATACGCGTGAGGTGGCGAATTGGCAATCACGTGGACCCTGCTCCAGGTCTGGGTCTGTGTCGAGGGAGATGTGTGTGTTATTATAATTAGCTTCGACCGCGCTAACCGGCTGGCCAATAAAAAGACGTCAGTCTCAGTGTGGTTGAAAACACAAAAAAACACTTTTATCTGCCATGAACTGGGACCCCGTGAGGGGGCAGCATGGGGGAGGCTAAACGATCCTTCGGATCAAAGACAGAAACAGCAGCAACAGAAGAAAGCTGCACGTGTCTACCAAGGCTAATACCTTGTACTCGAGTTCGTTTAGGAGTACTTTCACCATTGTCCTCCTTGCTGTGTTCGCTACCATCATTTTGATCCTCATTTTGACAAGCATCATCATCGCACCGACCACGCCCCAAGGGTCCCCGTGACTGCGCCGGTGGTACCCTTCAACACACGAAACTCCCAACACATATCCCCCTGGGATCCTCACGACCAGATACTGCTGCGCGTATATCTAACAATCTGGCTCAAACCCTTTGCTCTCTTCCACTCCTCCATGTTTTCCTCCTCCATCGTCTTCTTTGTCGTCCTTTCTTCCCTTTTTATTTCCTTCGTCTCCGTCACTCCCAAAAGAATTACCCTCATTACTATCGCTGTCGCAGAGCTCCGAGCTCCCAACCGATTGGCCCTGGTGAAAGTTGGTCGATCAGTAGCCCGTGACGTTTGAACACATCGCGAGTTCGCATGGATAGAAAACGAGCTAGCTCGAATGTAAGCCGTCTCCGAATCCTTTTAAGAATTACAAGCTTTCAGGTGGACTAACGATCTTTCGTCGTCAAAATTCCCACGGCAAAAAGCTTCGTGCGCCAAGTGGTTGGCGATAGCAACGATGAGTCGATTGGTGCCTTTGCCAAGACTACCATTCGTTGAAAAAGCAGCAGTAAGGAGGGTAGATCTAGACGGGTTGAAAGTTCCCGCATAGTGATTTGCCTTACTTGCGGTTCGATCTTCGAGGGCGGATCCTGGCTATTGCATCGACTTGTCGATGCTTCGACCTGCGGATGGGTTGACGATTGTTGCGTCTAAAAGAATANAGATCTAGACGGGTTGAAAGTTCCCGCATAGTGATTTGCCTTACTTGCGGTTCGATCTTCGAGGGCGGATCCTGGCTATTGCATCG